ATGCACCATCTAGACCTAACTGAGGTTTTATCCGAGCTCGCTATTCACATGGCTACAGCTTCTTGGAATGCGGCGGATTGCACTTAAAGCTACGATGTGTCCTTAACTTCTTTCCTGAGCTTAGCTATAGTTAAAATGGTTACTTCGTCGTAGCACTGCTTCGTGTTGTTTTCCTCTAGTCACTACAGAGTCCTTCGCAGCAGAAAGCATTGAGAGCGTCACGAGGTACTCCCTCGTAGCGAAACAGCTGTTGAAAGCACACGGTTGCTCGACCTTCGTCTCTGTCCACTGGGGAATAATATTGTGGGCATGTTGGCCTTCGATATGAGACATGAACAACGCTGCCTTCGTGGACGATGCTTCTGAAGGTGAGAGAAGTACTTTATGCTTATTATTCAATTCCACTTCGTGTAGTGTAAAAGTCACGGTAATTATTATCTGTGGTTTTACGTCTCAAAACCACAATGAAATTACGAAACACTGTGCACTGGAGCACTCCAGAAATTTCGATTATCTGATGTTCTGTAACGTGCACTGACATGGCATAGTACATGGTTCTCTACCCTTTCGCCTCCATCGAAATGCGACCACCATGACCGCGACCGAACTTGCAGCATTGACATATATTGTGGGCATGCCCATCTCGGGAACATAGTTATGAAGTTAGCCACATGATTCTACATTTACGCCGTGATCTTAACTGCGCATTCTACTGCTATTCGTGTGTTTTGTGTACTGAACAAATGTACATTCTTATTTTTTCTACCACCCACTTATTTTCTGCCTGGCAGCACATAATTTACCCATTTTTTGACAGTCTCGAAGCTAACGTTAACATTTTTTCCAGTTTCTACTTTTTTTGTCCTATGAAGTAAGCTATGGTTATATTCACCATTCAGGCATCCATTGACGTTGACTGTGAAACCGCGAGAATGACTTATACGTCAAATTTACGCGTGATCTGAGCAATAAAGCTGGCGCTCATCTCGAGCAGATACGCTTTGGTGAGAGAGGAGTTTACGCATGACATTATAACTACATTTCTGTATATCCTTGGAAGCCCAGATTTAAAACTTTGCTAGCACTTTTGAATACATATGAAAATATTTCAGGAATACTTGGTTCCCCTTAAACGTCAAATAAATGTGTTGACTTTGTATTACAACATCCAATACAGTTATCCAGTAAACTTCAAATGTCTTGACGTCATGTTAGTTTGTTTGCTCGCTGAGGTAACCATGGATTCAAGTTGTCCACTGCGCTATAAAAATTAAGTAACTGGCAAAATAGCGAAATATCCTAATGATAGAGTCGTGTAGGGCGTCTTGAAAGGTCAGTTTTGCTAAGGTATAGATCAGAAACGATATGTGCAACATGCAAACATTTCGACCAACGTGGATTCCTAGTTTTCATACAATAACTACTTCTGTCCAAATATCGAATGTCTACATTTAAATACAGAATCTAGATCCCACTCGACAGATGAAAACACGTAATAAGATAATTAGGGGGATGAACAGTGGAAGTGCCTCAGAAAGGCTGGCCGACGTTTTGATAGGAGGACCTATCTTTGACAAAGGCACCTTGTCATACTTGTGTTAGTTTTAAATACTAAACCCCTTAAAACTAACACGCAAAGGATGACAAGGGGCCTTTGACAAAGGGAGGTTCTCCTACCGAAACGTCGGCCAGCCTGTCGGAGGCACTTCCATTCTTCACCCTGATTATCCCATAATGTCTACATTTAGTACGTTAATAGTGACCCCCCCCCCAAAAAAAAAATAAAAGCAGCTGTAGAAACACCACAATTGTCAGTGAAAACATATACTTGCTATTGTTCAATGTTATAGTGTGTAACACAATATAAGAATTGGTCATGCGTCAGAAAGTATTAGAGGGTTTTCTTGCTGGGTAAGCAAACGCTTGTGGCCTCATTTATCTACTTAGGCAGTCGTGCCTTCCTTATAGTGGTGCGTAACCAAACGCATGCTGCACGCAGGGCACACTATCAGAATTGCCAACCGTTTTTTCCCGAAATCTTGGGGCAGTGTGGGATAGTAAGGTGGTAATGCAATTCTCTGTTGTAGGGGAATGTAGGATAAGATGTAAGGTAATATACATTTTTGGGCTCCTCGTCGAATGAGCGAAAAGTTTGAACTATGGACGTGACATTTCCGAGGGGCCATTAACACGTAATTGAAAACTATATGTTTTTTGAATAAAATTGGAACTGTTTTCATTTGCATTTCGCCAACAAAGGACAGAGGAGATAATACTCCGTACATCCCTGAGCCGGCATTGTTATTTTTTCCTGTGCATGTTTTTTTTTTTTACTTTCCACTCTCCCGCGTCCGCTTGTTGCATGAACAGGTTTTTACATTCGGTGGCGGCTCTCGGTACTGTCATGTGATGATGATGATGATGATGATGATGATGATGATAATGAAAGTCGACGAATGACCACCGCTGAAGTGGTAGAGAATCAAACGCGTTATTCAAAGGCCACAGGTTCGGTCCCCGCCAGCGGCAAGTTATCTTCTGGTGCACTTTTGTTTCTTTGCATTTACACTACAATTATTACTAAGAGTACCTGCTATACTCAAAAATGGTGCCAAATTGACATGGGCAGTTTTGGAAGTTTAAGGAAAATAATCTAACGAACACAAAGGCATTCGCAGCTGACAAACGGAGTGCACGATGGCCACTTGATAGATTCGAGGCCGACTTGGCCTGCTCGGTACCGCTGGTATGGTCTCTCCTACGATGTCAACAGAGGCAGTGATGTTTATGGCCGCGCGCACCCGGCCCCAGCGAACCGAGGGCGCACGTGTTTAAGGTTTTGTAGCCCAAAAAACTGCCCTCAGGTGAACTATTTAGCCTTCTTAGCATTATGTACGACTTTATCGACTCTACACCCCGAAATGAAGGACCATAGCGCGCTGCTTAGTTACCGGTGGACTCAGTTTTACTATGTGAAATCGGGTTCTTATGTGTGTTGATTGATTGATTGATTGATCGATCGATTGATTGATTGATTGATATGCGGGTTTTACGTCCCAAAACCGCCATTTGAATAAGAGAAACGCCGTAGTGGAGGGTTCCGAAAATTTCGACAACCTGGGGTTGTTTAACGTGGTGCACCCTAATCTGAGGCCTACAGCATTTTCGCTTCCACCGATGCAGCCGCCGCAACTGGGATTCGATCCCAAGACCTACTCGTCAGCAGCCGAGTACCTTAGCCCCTAGAGCAATACGGCAGTTTGTGTGTGTGTGTGTGTGTGTGTGTGTGCGTGTGTGTGCGTGCGTGTGCGTGTGTGTGTGTGTGCGTGCGTGCGCGTGTGTGTGCGTGTGCGTGTGCGTGTATGTGTGTGTGTGTGTGCGTGCGTGTGTGTGTGTGTGTGTGCGCGCGCGCGCGCGCGTGTGTGTGTGTGTGTGTGTGTGTGTGTGTGTTTTAAAGCAGTTGCCGCAAACACGCTTGCAAGATATGCGAATATAACAAAGCAAAAACTGGCCGATTCAGAGAATCGAATAATTAGGACGTGTGCCCTAGCCCTTGGGGCATATGCGTTTTTCAAGAACATGGAACTTTCATTTACTCGGACTCAAATGACCCCAACACGCACGATCCACAGAGCGTGTCGAGTGCCGAGTGTCCCAAATGTGCTACGCAAACAGCGAAAACGGCGTTTTCCGATATGCGAAACAATATTGCACTCTCCGTGTCGCTGTCATCACGAGTTAGCGACCACGGTTTCATCTACATGCGGATCCGGCAAACATGCGCACGCAGTCTAACATATCCTAAATGATGGCGAAATCTGTTGAGAAATGAAGTGTGTTCAGCGGCGGCTCAGCATGAAGATGCATAAAGCTTGTTTGTTACATTGCGACACGTGAACTATGCGTTGTGGGCAGTTTCACTTGTGAAGGAACCGTCGACACCACATGGGAAGACGCACGGTGTCCGCGGTGGTACGTTATAAGGCAAAGGCCCTGAGCGCGTTTCGGGCTAATTAAACGTGGCAGTATCTGGTCGTAGTTGCATTGGTGCAAATTTAGGTTTTCACACTGCCCTTATGCAAAAAAAAACGCAGGATTTATGTATCAAGCAAGAAAATGAGAACGTATCGATGCAACAGACGTATATTATTTTTAATACTTTCCGTAAATCGGCATGCGCTTAATTTGGAGATGTTGTTTCGGTCTTGTGAAATTTCAATTAACGAGCTTTCACTGTTCACAGTGTGCGAAGTCAGCGCTCCACCCTTGCTGCCCCCTCCACCAGTAAGTGATGCCTCCGCACAACTCAAATTTCCGGCTTTGAGCACGCCGCAGAAAGTCTCTGTCATTTTCACAGCCTGATCTTGAAGAAACGCTATTTTGATGGCTACTTTTTTCAACATGGCTCATATTGTGATTTTGCACGTTAAACCACCGAAATCATTACCATTATTATACTTGTTGCATTTACTAACATTATTATACTTTTTGCAGACTCAGAAAGTTTATGGCTCTTTGAAACTATCTATAGATAGTTTCAAAGGGCTTTAGCTTCTCTCGTCTACTACTGGACATTATTGAACCCTGAGAAGCTGTGTGGAAATAAAAATAGTCATTGTTTTTTGGATTCCGAAGCAGCAGTAGAAATCCTAACGGCTCTTTATAATGTTACCATCATTCCCGTCTTATGGCGATAGTAAAAAAATAACTATCGAAGCTTTTTTTTTTGTCTGTCAAACTGATTTAAAATTGATCTACGGTCTTAGTACTATAGTCAGAGCTGGTTATATAATCGGTTGTTGTAGTGCGTTTTATTGCGTGGGTTCTGTTCAGTGCCATCCACATCTGTACAGAGCAACACAGTCCACGCACACCGGTGACACATACAGAACTGACAGACCTGATCTTCCACGGCCCTGGGCCAATGACTGTCGTGTGATGATGTGCCGGGAAAAGGCAAAATCGTAATCGCTTCACCTTTTTTCGTTCAGTGCCACCATTGAGAGAACCACATAATGCGCCACGTCACATGGACAATGAGCCACCAACCCAGAAGCGGCGTAAGGTCAACCAGACCAACGCCCCTTGGCGCGTTGCAGTGGTGGGATCTCTTATCGTGCTGTTTGCCACGAGTGTGTTTGGTACCTCGGGCCTTTTCTACGTCTACTTCATGGACACGTTCGGCGTCAGCCATGAAGCTGCATCTTGGCCGGCCAGCACAATGGCTGCGATGCTTAACTGCGCAGGTGGGCGGGACATTTATCACAGCCCGAACTGTCTCTTTTAAAAAGCAATACGACTTTCTACAATTACTGAAGTAGGCTTTAACTGCGTATTTTGAGCCAGACTGAATGCAATTTCTTGAACTTCAAGAAGAGTGTTCAGATCAGCAAACCGATAAAATGACGTATCCTGTGGTTGTGTATCGTACTGCATACGGTCCAGTGTTTTACTAGTAGAATGAACATTACCTGTGAACAATTATTTTCATGCTTGAGAAATATTCCACATCACTGGCCATGAAAAGTGTAGGTACAGCATATACAATGAGCCAATTGGATTCCTGTCTCTTTACCTTTTCTGAGATCTTGCATGCTCCTCACATCTAAAAACGTACAATGGTAGACCTATGGTTACTGCTACGTACTAGCTACGCGTGGGGCTAGCTTAGGGTGCTTAAGCGCAGCGCTTACGAATTTAGCGACTGATTCGTCAACATAACGAAAGGCAGGAACCCTTCTTTAGGCACCCCCTCCTTAGTAAAAGCTCCAACTTAAGGTCAGTCCTAATATTGAGAGCAAGAAATACAACCGATAGTTTCAAATTTATCAAAACAATCAAACTGCTAACAATTGTGAAGATTACCGAAGTTTATCATACCTTTATCAATCTATATTACAATAAACAATAGCATTGCTGCGGTCTTGTGACAGAAGAACGCGAAAGCCAGATGAGTGGGACTACAGGACTGGTCGTCAGCCGTGCAATCATTTGTAGGAAACTTTCAGCAACCGAGACAACCACTCAAAATGCATTACTGTACAAGCAGTCTAATGCCGTCACCGGTCGACACCAAGTGATAAAAAGGCTTCATAACATATATAGAGGAACAATTACAATAGGATGTTGCGAAAATACCTCTTAGACTGATAACAGAAGCCGCGAGAGACGCACACATAACTTTTTTTCGAAGCGGTACCGGTGTCGTCGCTGTTTGTGTCCCCAGGAAGTTTTGCGCATGTCATACACAAGGTGCGAAGGAACGATGTACAGATCAAGAAGTTGGATACATTCACAATAAACGCCTTGTGATTATCAACAGAGCAACATACCACCTACCGCTAATGAATCTTCGACAGTGAAAGAGAGCATGTTGGTAAAACGAATTACCAACATATACACTCTGTCAAACTAGACCAGCTTCTGATACGAAAAGCGCACAAGTTTAGCTGAGTCTAGCCCTCAATGTGCTGATAGGAAAGCTATTGAGGATAAGCAGGCACAATATTTTACAGGAATCAGTCAAGGTTCATGAGACCAGTCAGATCTGATGACTCAAAGAGCTAAGCAGCACTTGTCCAAATGTGCCAACGAGACACGATCATTCAGTCAAAGACGAGTGCATGCAGCAGCACGCTTTGGATCCCTGTGCTCTGAAGGGTTGTGCTGTCCAATAACCATGATTGAATAATCAACTTTTTAGTGACTGTAGCTACAGAGTATGTTTGTAATGAAAAGTTGGAGGCAGATCTACGTGAACGAATTCTTCTTTGTGCTGCAAGACATTCTAGTGCAAAAAATGAGTGCGGTTAGCATGATTCGCATGCAAGACGGTGAGCAGTGGCGCAGAGCTCATCCTCGATATGTCACGGCAATTACATGGGCTGTTTGATCTGACAACGGGTCGAAGGCTGATAACGGTTGCCTTTATTCTACTACCTGCTGATGATACGAAGCAATAAATGCTTTTAATATCAGGAAGGAACCAATCATCACCGCCTTGCGTGGCGTAGTCATGCAAACCACAATTAAATTTGGCAGTGGCGTATATCGAAGGCCAGACAAGCTAGACAAATTTTTTCAAGTGGAACTGTGTAGAGAGATACGATTGCCTCCAAATTCTGAACACAGACAAATAAGCTCGTTTGATTCTGTGACCTAAAACGTTGTTTATTCAATCTTAGTTGATGGGGTGGCTGACAGTGTTGATTATTGTCGCACTTTGTATACATCACTAGATACATAATTAGATATATAGTTTATCTACAATGGTGGTTTTCGTGGACATTCAAGCGCTGAAGTCCCACAAGGCCATAAAGCTTATTTTTTAACACTCTATATAATTACAGAAATGCAGTTACTTATTGTGTCAATCTTAATTTTCAGGCCTCGTTGTTTCGTTACTCCAGCGCTTCCTGAGCATTTTCCAAATTTCTCTCGTCGGCAGCGTTCTACTGTGGACAAGTCTCATGCTAGCAGCATTTGCACCTAACATGGAAATCATGACTTTACTTTTGGGAGCTGTGCACGGTAAGTGCTTGTTAAAATCGAATGCTAATACTGCATCTCCGAGGGGAATCAGAACATGCGTCGCATTACAGCGTAATTTAGTACTTAATTTTTGTTTGGCACTGCGCTATTGAGCGCTCAGCTCTGATTGTGAGCCTCTTGGATTAAGGGTGAATGAAGGTAAAAGTTAGCGATATAAAGGGTTGCGTACCGTAGCATATAATAATTTGTATGTACGCTGTATGTGAAATGAAAGTGCTGGGAGGTGCATCCACTGCTCACTTGCAGCAGCGCCAAGCATATCACCATGACATTACCTAATCTACCCATCATGGCAATAGCTATTGCATGTCACTGAACATACCACGTCCCGTCAATTTTTCATTTCATGTGGCGCACATAAATCTCTTATTCCATGTGCTCCGAAAATCAAAACGGAAAGAAAAATAAACAAAAATAACGGGCGTTGGACTCGTCACGTCAAAATGACATGCTCGTGGTCCGGTACTTCAAACAATGTGACAGACACATTTATGCCAGGAGCATGCTCTTTTAATCTGGATTACAGCAAGAGTTAGCAAGTTCTTCGCTATCCTTCATTACGAAGTCCAGTTTTTACAAACAAGTTGTCAAGTTCTACCGCCCTTCTCGTGGTATTCAATGTTGTTATAAAATGTTTTCATTCCGCGTGTTCCAAGGTATTCCGCCTCCGACCCTCCAGCTTTCCCTTACTTCTTTCTACCACACATTCATTTATGTTCGCAGAACTGCCATCCAAACTTTATATCTCGGGCACACCTGGTCTCTCAACTTACTTTACTTATAAGTATACTTTCTCATAATTTCTGTGCATTTAAAGCATGAGTATATTTCACGCGAAAATCTCTCGTTATTGCTTCGCAATCTTAGACACACTCATTCACTCCCCCAAAGAATGTATACCTTTCGTCTGAATAGTCATAAAATCTGACTGTTTTTATTCCAATCTTTGCTGTCGAATTTACCTCCACCATAGCTCATTTATTCTACGCTGCATTTGCGACTTGACGCTAACCACCTTTTCTTATCTATTGTCAGCTACGTTGCAATCTTTACTGCTTAGGTTTGTCGTAAAAACGAGTGCCGGCCACTTCAGCCGCGAATCTGTTGATCCCAATAATATTAACCAATAAGCAATTCGAAAAAAATTCTTCCTGTAATGTGACCCTGGGATGGTTCCTCATGAAAGGGTTCCTCATAACTTCCGGTATTTAACTAAAATTTACAGTCAGTACGACTGAAGATCACTCGGCACTTTGCTTTCGTCTGCGACGTTCGCAAGCACCTGTGGCCACACGTTTCAGCTTCTTTGGTGAGCCATCTGTCCTGAGTGCATAGGTGGTCATTTCTTTTTATGGGTATGTGGAAGAAGGCAGTTTATATCATTTTCTGTGACCAATTTTCTCCAATTTTGTCAGCTCTGCGAAATTTCCGTCGCACTCAATCGCATCTTTTCATCCCTTGTTACCAGTCTTGCTGCAGTGAATGAACGTCTGTCCGCGGTCCTATGCTGAACTGTCCTGCCGAGACCGATTTGACCTCCCAATTTTCAGTGAGGGGCACATAAAGGAGCCGAGTTGCTGTTTTTTGTCGTATGCTGGTGCAACGCAGACAAAGCTGCGAACAGTATAGGCAACCATCGTAGAATGAGCGCTCGCTCCCGCCTAGGAGAATTGTTATTCCTCTTGTTCTTGTAGCACCTTGATGATGATATTCCGTGAGGAAGACTTCAGGGGCCTGAGCTGTCGTATGCTCTCGTCGCTTGGCATAACGAAGGCGAAACTGCTTATAAAGATAGTAATAAAGAGGAAGCAAGTGAGAGATAAGCAGAGAAAGATAGCTAAAAATTGAAATGAATAGATATAATAGAAGGTATAACAGCCAAGAATAGAAACAATAAAGAAAGTAAACGGGCAAAACGAAAAAACAAAAACAAAAGAGGAGCCCCGCACTGCCTTCAGTCTTGACACCGCTTGTGCGAAGCGGCCTTTCTAATAAATTATCAGCTACCCCTGCTTGTTTCCTCATCCACCCCCCTGCCTCCTGGTGTTACGCCTGCCAGTTTCTGATTTCTCACACGCTGAGCAGTCTTGCGACAAAATATCAATGCTTGGTCTAATATCATCATTGCCGCCCTTCACGACCAGCTATTCGGGGATGTCACTTATGATAATATATAATAGCTGATTATGGACACTGATTACAGGTCTCACAGCATTTCTCTGAGACCTGTAAGAATATTCTTCGTCGCCAGCAAATTTAAACTTATGTTTTAGGTTACGCATATACGAGATGTAGGTTTCTCTCGCTGTTAAGAAGCCTGCTTTCTGGACGTATAAGAAATGTCCGCCTAGTTAAGTACGAGCATGATTAGAGAAAACTGAAGTAAAAAGCGTGTCCCGGGTATTCCTTATATTCATTGCTTATCACTGGATAAAGTGGTACACAAAGCGGGGTGGGTGTCACTTTACGGCGTTTGTGTTACCCCTCTTATAATGTTCGTGTTTAAACGGCAAATATTTGTCATGACCACTAAATGTATATTTAGGTGCATGCAAACTGCTGCAGCATGTGTAATTTACGAGATGCCATAGCGCGCCAACAGCTGCACAGAATGCGGCCGAAATGCATCAAGGCAACTACGCTGTTATCTTCTAAAAGTTTGTCGCTACATTGCCGTCTTTTTTTTCCCCCGACAGGTCTGGGACTCGGCTTCGTGGAGAATACTGTGTCCGTTATTATTGCGACCTCGTTCCAGAAGCACAAATCCTTCTCCATGGGTTTTAAAGACAGCGGTCGAACTTTGTCCGTTCTCATTTTCCCCACCGTCGTATCTTACTTTAATTCTCTTTACGGTATCCGGAGCACGCTCGCGCTATGTGGAGCGTTGCTCATGCACGTCACAGCGCTGGTGTTAACGCTACGGCGGCATCCGTTCACAGAACGGCCTTGTCTTCGCCGAAATAGTACTGGAAGCAAGGACAACGTGAAATCTGGGTCAATACGAGCTGTTCGACTCCACAAAGAATCGTCTGATAACAATACGCGGATAATAACGCTAAAGAATATTAGTTACGGATCATGTCATAATTTTATAAAGGCAGCTGACCTCCCTCACAAAAACTTGTCATTTCAGGTGCCTCAGTCACCGCTCCCGGATTTTGATATAAACACATGCGCGCAAAATCAAGCATCTTGCGATGCCGCACCGGCACCAGCATCTACAGCATCCGAAGGTGGTAGCACCAATCATGTTAAGCAACCTTGCACCCAGGAGAGCACCGGTTCTCCGAGGTCGCAGGCACTGCGGATCTTGCGAGTGGTTGCTGATCGTTACCCGTCACCTGCCGTGAATGCGTCACAGGGGGGAAATACAGGAATTTCGCTGACAAGCGACGTTGAAATGCCAGCCCTCAACGGAAAGCGAAATACTGCGCCGTCTAGCAGAACCCAAATGGTCCGTCTCTTCGGTGAACCTACGTTTTACATCCTCGCGTTCCAAAACACAGTAATGAGCTACTCATCATTTATGTTTCGATCGATAATAGTTGACTATGCGAGAGACAAGGGGGTGCCCTTGGCTAATGCCGAACTGATGGGAACATACTGCGCCGCCAGCGACCTGCTTCTAGGCCACATGGGCTTGCCCTTTCTGGCCGACCGCGGCTTTGTGAACCGAAGCTTGCTTGCGGCATTGACATTCGGCCTTCTGTCGGCGTCGATGTTTGCTTTAAGTTACTCGGAAGGATTTGTTTCTTTCGTCGGCATCTTTCTCGTACAGTCCCTGCTGATCTCGGCAACCGCTTCGTTCTCCCCTGTGCTGATCACCGACTATCTTGGCGCTTGTCGGGTTCCCATAACTTGTGGTGTCTCTGGTCTCGTGACGGGGCCTCTACTCCTGGCTACACCCTCGATAACAGGTTGGTGCGTTTCTTACGTTTTTTTTTCAATACAGGTTTTACATTGATCGGTTTTAAGTATTTCCAATGCCATCATCATCATTATCAGCCTGACTGCGCCCGCTGCAGACCTCTCATATGTTCCGCTAATCCACCCGGTCTTGTGCTTTCTGCAGCCACGTTATATGTCCAAACTTGTTAATCTCATCTTTCCACCTAAACTACTCTCCCCTCGGAATTCAGTCGTTTACCCTTAATGACCAGCGGTTATCCGGCCTACGTGCTACGTGCCTGGCCCATGTCCATTTCTTCTTCTTGATTCCAACTGGGATTTCCTCAACCCCGGTTTTTTCCCTGGCCCACTGTGCTCTCTTCCTGTCTCTTAAGATTACACCTCTCATTTACCCTTTCATCGCTCCCTGCATTGTCATCAATGGAAACTGGACCCTCCTTGTAAGCCTACCGGTTTCTGCTCCGTTGGTAAACATCGATAAGATTCAGCTGTTTTACCTTCCTCTTGACTGATATGCCGCTTCCATCATTTCGTTGCAAATCTCGCGGCGCGTGAAAGGAGCGAAAATTGACATCTAATTGGAGTATTTCTGCTAATAATAGACGATCAGGATCGATGAACCAGTAATCCGGCCATGGGACACGATATTGCGCGTTATTCGTGCAGTGATGGCTACATTTCAGCAATAGAGAAAGCGTAATCGGGGGTGAAAAGGAGGTAAAAATTTATTTAAACATGAGATTCGGACGCTTACAAGCCATGCAGGGTTCCCCGCTCGATCCCGCTGCGCTTTGCGTTCATGAGTTCACAATGTTCCAGGACGTGGGCGGCCCAGCCAAAGGCAATCTTCTCCTTGGCCAGGGCTGTCTAGCGCACTGCAAGAGTCCTCTGGGTATTCTATAGGAGAATGTTGGTAAGGGCAGCGTAGGTGCTGGTCCAATGATAGCAAGTTCGCTCCCGTGTAAACGCTGGCAAAAAATACAAGGGAAAGGGAGCGTGCGCTTCGGAAGGCAGTGCCATAGCTTCGATGAATGTTTCCCACGACGGGGTGAATCATTCATTGAACCTATACGATCTCCACGTGACATTGATAGCCGCAGAATATTTTGCTACCGCCTTTCCAACATTTTCTAAGCTAGGATTAGTACGGTCCGTCATTGAGCGCAGATCCGTTCCGACGCACAATATAGTGCTGCGCGTGACGTGGACCTTCCTGCGTGGCTTATCGGGTGGTCCCAGCTACATGATGCATGCCACATACCACAGTGCAGCTGCCTTTAAAATGTCGTCATCGCTGGTTGCACGCGCCGACAAATGATGCACTGGGGAGGCGCACTGTGCGGAAGCATGCGCGTGCACCACTACTGTGCTGAAATTTCTGTTCATTGGCCTGGACTTGCTGAACTAGCTGTGATCGGGAATTTGGCTTGCTTCAAATATTTCGAAAGCAGGTGTTTTTGGTGAAGTATCAAACATGAATATAAAAAGGCAAAACAACGCATATATCAGTATAAAACAGTTCCATGGAGAGGGCGACAGAAGCAATAAGCAGTTAGTCTGGATTTGCCCCGTTATTTTTTTTCTTTTTTTCTAATTCCTGTGCGTTTTTGCTGGTTGTTCAGGTTGCACCGGCTAAATATCTTGCTTCATCAAGTATACTCTCTTTTTTCGTTCACATGGCATGTTGCTAAACTAATATGGTATGACATTATTGCATGGCGAACACGAGCGACACACCCTAACATGAAAATCATGACAAGCGTGTCATGTAACAACATCACTACATGCCACGCTCATGATGCGCTCGCGGCCGTTTCGCTAGCTTCACATGTACCAAACTCGGTATTACGCTGCGCCAATGGATGACGAAGGCATGTGACTGGTGCAAGCATGATAATCATGAGATGCGTGTCATGTGAGAACATGAGTACATGCCATTGTCAAGACTCCATACATTTCGACGTGATGCGGTGCGCGTGGTCGCCGGCGTTCATTTCGTCGCATTACGGCGGCGTTGCCACGCCAGGCGCCGGTCCTGCCATATACTCGCAGGCGCGCGCCGCGCTGTGTTGCTTTGACGCATGCGCGTTTCAGTGCGTCTGGTGTTCTTCCGTCACAAAAATTGATTGATTGATATGTGAAGTTTAACGTACCAAAACCACTATATGATTATAAGAGACGCCACAGTGGAGGGCTCCAGAAATTTAGACCACCTGGGGTTCTTTAACGTGCACCCAAATCTGAGCACACGGGCCTACAACATTTCCGCCTGCATCGGAAATGTAGCCGCCGCAGCCGGGATTCGAACCCACGCCCTGCGGGTCAGCAGCCGAGTACCTTAACCACTAGAACACTGCGGCGGGGCATCCATCACGAAAAGTGGGAGACGCAGTGTTGTCTGGGTAATGCATCGGCGCGAAATGCAGCCTGTCGCATTTCGCGCCAGTTGCCGTCATGCCGTGCCGACGGAAGCCGGTCGCGCCTGGCGTAAGACTAAGGGCCAAACCACATAAGCGCGAAAATGCACGCGACAGCGACGAGCGACACTATGAGCGACGAAACAGGGCGTTCGCGCGACCTGTCGCGTGCTCGTTTTCGCACAATCGCTCGGTTCTCCAGATATGGAAACCGTCGCTCATCGCCTGGAAGTGCTGGGCTCAAGCAGCCAATAGCGAAATACCGGAAAAGACAAAGACTACATGGGTGCACGTGACCCTGCCCTAGTCACGTATGCGCAACAAGAAATAACGCAATGTTTATTACGCATGTGCATATAAAAAAGTGCTGTAAGGCAATAATAAACACTTTCCGTTTCATTACACAACAATATATCTTATTTTTAAATTGCATACCGCTCGCTACGCGGTTTTCTTGGTGCGAGTAGACGGCCTCATGCCAGCAACAGTGGAATTCTCTCGCCGAAGCTGTCGCGTGAATGAGGTTTGCCTGCGCTAGCGACTGATCGCGCGAAGACGATCTACGTCGCGTCGCTCGTCGCTGTCGCATGCATTTTCGCACTTATGTGGTTTGGGCTTATAAGTGCTCGCACTTTGCTAACGTAGCGTCGCTGTGCCCAGCGTGCGCGCGCGTCAATGCTGCATTGGAGTATATTGGGCCCTTCATGATGTGCTCGCGGATGTTTTGCTAGCTCCATATATACCAAATTTAGTGTTACGTGACGTCAATGCATGACAAAAGAGATGACTGGTGCAAACATGATAATCCTGACACGCGTGTCGTGTAGGAACATGACAACATACCACGCTCATAGCATGCTAGCGGCCAGTTTGCTATAGCTCCACTCATACTAAATTTGGCATCACGTGACGTGAATAGATGACGAAGGTGAACGACACATCCAAACATGATAATCATGACACGGAAATCATGTGCGGCATCGTTTATTTCCGCCTCTTTACTTTGTGGTGATTTCAAAGTGACATATCAACATTTCTCATTCGTGCTTCTCGTATCATCGATTCCCACTGTACGTGGGATCTGCCAATTTTTTCTTATTTCACCCAATTTTTTGTTCTCGTTCCCTAAATATTGAAAGCACAAATTCACAACTCATACCTTGGTTTCATCGCTTGCCTTCATTGAGCGCTTGCCTCGCATTTGATGTGTTGATCGTCACTTATATAGCGATGGCATATTTCATCATGTGTCCGCTCTTCCTATGTCTCGTGAAATGGCAATAGTATAGGCAGCTTTCTTTAAGAAACACGGAGCGAGTCTTCGCACAACATAATCAATCGTCTCAGAAATATTCCCGGGCCTAGTTTAGTCATTCAAATTGACAAGCTCAATATCAATTGCCACGTGCCGTCACGTTTGCGAACGGGGCGGGAAATGTCGCGTTTCGCCACTCTCGCAAATACGCTGCGATATTTCCTTCACTGGTTGCACGATAACAGAGGTGAAAACTGAATCATGTAAATTCATGTTTTTGTTGCAGTTATACTCGTGTTGATATAATAGCGCAATAGTACTCTTTTACTCACTACGCCCCCGCTCCCACTTCCCGCCACTCTGACACGCCTTCTTCTATGTTTTTTGGTTGTTTTTTTTGCGATTCCCCAACAGGTTTTTTCAGGGACACCAAGGGCTCGTACGACAGCCTAGTGCGCCTTATTGCTGGGCTGGCTGCCACCTCTGCAACACTCATCTTGCTTCTGAGGATACCAAAGAGAAACTGCTGAACTTCTTCAAACGTTAACCGAAAACTTCTGCAAACGTCAAGCGAACATGAACTTTCGTGCCACAAGCAAACAAATAAACGTACCCTAAGTGACTGCTTGGGCGAGTTAGCACGACACACCTCACGTGCAACTCGAATAAACCTCAATTGAGAGTCGCCGCTTGTGTTGGTGCGGTGCTTAGTGTCCTCCTTTTCCGAGTACCCACTTTTTCAAAAGCGATCTCAAACCTGCACCTTCATTTTATTGCGGTCGTAATGGTAGAAAATTTATTCTTTTATTTGTTGACTTGCGAATCCCTGGAGGGTGCAGTCCTCAGTCCAGGACTCCACTAAGTGCTGCAATCCAGTTGACACGGTCGATTCAATCAACGCTGGCCGTTCGGGGCTGTGCTGAAAAGAGTGACCTCTCTCTGGAAGAAGGAATGGTTGCTTATTTCAGGTTCGTGCAGGGCAAAAGTCAGGGCATTGAGTTGGTTACAGTGCGCGGCGGACTGCTACGTTCGGAAAAATATTCTGAGCAGGCACCTAACAGCAGCATTGGCACGTGTTTTTTTTTACTTTCTTTCACGCGTTGTTAAGGGAACGTTCAACGTGTAGTCTGTATTGCTTTGTAGGCCCGTAGCCAGGGGAACTGTCCCAGGGGCCGGGCGCCTCAATCGCCGCTCTCCACAATTCTCATGGGGATGGTTTTAAATGAGTTTTTCTGAAGTAGTAATGGTCTTCGGCAAGTGTCTTGCCCCTCTCCTTTAATATATCGTGGCTATAATTGGTGTGGGGTTGCAGTGTGTGCAAAGCCATGTTAGTAGCATCGTGTCTACTTTCTCTGGGTTGTACAAGCTTTCCCCGTAATTAAATGAACACTGATCAGCCGCTAGCGGTGCAACTTACAATGGCTTCCCTAAACCCGCGGCTTGTTAGCTGCAAAATTGAAGTGTACAATCTAGTAAGTGTCCTGTCACGCGAATGGCTCAATGTGCTCTTGCGAAAACTGCAGGATGCTTTTATGGATTCCGTTTGAAGCGTGAGCGTACCGGTGGAGAGTGCATTGACAGCACGCGACGCCAGTGATGTCGTTCCTGCAATGACGTCTCACATGCGCAGTCCAAAGCGATCAAGCCATTTAATTGCAGCCATTTTATTGACCTAATGTATTCTCCTGTCGATTACCGGAGACTACTATGAATTGATCAAATAAACTAACCACTTTTTAGGCTTCATGATTTATCAAGTTATTCGAGGGCATAGAAACAAGATTAGTAATCGAGGTACTTTAATTTAAAGGAGTAAGAAGATATTACGTAAATAGCTTAGTATATATATCTGAAAATACTATTGAGAGTAACAATTGTTTGATGAGACATTTTTTTTTACATTGGACTTTTTCCAAAATCGGCTTCCATAATTTCAGTCCATGTGTAGGAAGTCAAGCCTCCCGAGAAAAAAAGGGTTTATTGAAAATAAACAACATACCGACTCTGTGAGTAACTTCTTGCTTGCTTGTCTCTTTACAAGTGGCTCGTAGCGCTACGGAAGATCGCCTATTTTAACCGGCGGTTAAAATAAGAGGACAGTTTAATCTTTTGATGACATAAAATGAATTATTCGATCGTCTAAGCCACGGAGGAAGGAAAAAGGTAAGGAGAGGGCATGCCCAGCCGGCGCAGGGCGTAAAAAATGTGGCGGAAATGACATCATGGCGGCCATATTCAGTAGGCGCAATGGCGGCGTTGTTATGGTTACGTGTTGCGCAGTGAAGCTGGTCTAGCAGTGAGCGGCCGCGGCTGGCGGCGAAATGTGTGCCTCCCCAGGTCTCGTGCTGAGCCGTGGCGGACAATATCTGTGCTCTGCGCCGCGTTATTGGTTACGCAGTGTTCGTCTGGCTGTTACATTACTCTTAGCAACGTTTACAAATCTCTTTGTCCATCACGGGGTTTCAACAGTGCGTAGAACAAGTGCATATCCATGTGTCGTGCGGCGGATGACGCGGATAAAGCAGTTAGTGTTCAGCGAAATGGCGTTGGGCACCATGACGAAGCTGAATGACGACGAATGCCTTGCAGGTCTGTGACGGTTGAGCAGTGCTCCTGCTTGTGACAACGGACGACGCTGTTGAGCCCAGCAAGACGCCGTGAGGACCATGTGCACATACGTAGTTTCGTGTTGTGTGTGTACAGTAACAACTTGCATGTGCGTATTAAAACACCTTTTCTGTTCCGCTTGGTACACTCTCCACCAGCATTGCATGTAATCTCAACGTAACAGCAACCACGTTCAACTGTCACTAGCACCGTGCTCAAAGCCACCATGGTCGCAGAATGCTGACGCAGGTGAGTTTCACGCGGAACACGGACACAGTGGCAGGACGCTGCGTCAGTCGCGTGGCGGAATGCAACCGTAGAAGGCGCACGACCGATCGTGTTGTCTGTACAGTTGCTGAATTAATGACGTGAAAGCACTCGCCGTTGTCAGTGCATCTAGCGCGCGTTCTTTCGTAGTTGCTTCGTTGTCAGTGAGCTGTTACTCTTTGTTATTACTCGGACGAAGCGATTTCGCTGAAGGTGTCCCGCTGGCTCTGAGTGATGAGCCCAGTTCCATTAGTTTCGGATCGTCACGATACACGCGCTGCGCAGCCCACGTGCTTTCCGAGCCGGAGAGGGAGTCGCGCCTTCTGCTTCGCATTCATATGTAAACAAGAGAGGAGAATTTGCCTATTCAATATGGCCGACTTCCGGCTTCATCGCGGCTTCACAACGAGTGACGTCAGGGCCTCTCCTTACCTTTTTCCTTCCTCCGTGGTCTAAGCATAGTCGTTTCATGAAATTCTGAAGCACGAGCGTTGTTCGTCCTCTTCTTTGTCGCTGTTCTTCCAACAAGCCACCCCGCGTGCAGAAATCCACATAACGTGTGATTGTGGTGGGTAAAAGTGTCGAACGGTACAAGTTTCAAGCTACAGGATCCTACCTTGACATCTCTTTCTCAATGTTCTCAATGAAGCTCGTGTGTCATCAAAAAGGAAGCACTAAAGACGAGTCAATAAGAGTTACCAACTAACCCTGCAATCCGTGATTCTCACATTAGCTTACCAGCGTTATTCATCATTCCTTTGCTTCCCCATTGACCTAGCCCGATGTAGAGCAGCAGGTCGGAGCACACCATCGATTAGGTCGACCTTTCCTCCCTTCCGTAACTAAATTCTCTCTCTGGCAACGAGAAGGTGGAGAGGGATAAATAAAGTAAGTGATAAAACATCAGAGAGGCGGTAAGAAAGAGGAAAACTTTTCCCGAGAAGGAGTTCCTCAAGAGGCGGGACTCGAACCCCCGTACCCAGAGATCTGAAGCGGACTGCATGTCTCCGAGAAATTTTATTTATTAAATGGAGTAAAGCCTTGGCAGTTAGATTAGCAGCACAACAAATTGATGTTCCGGCTTGTTAGAAAGAGAGAGATGTTGAAGGCATCTGGAGCGACACGAGAGTGTTCATGTTTCCCGCGTATTTGAATCACTTGTTCCAGAAATATGTTCTTGCTGAAAAAGGAGGCTCCGCACTTCTAACAATCGGCCTTGCTCTCGAAGATAGAGAAGGATAAGTAAGTCAGATGGTCGTATTCTACCATCTGTTAAATAAATCTATGCTTGAGGGGTGGAATTTGACGTACATTGTAAAAAAAACACTGCATCACAACAACCAATAAAACAATGATCAAAAACCTTCGGTAGCTTTTTGTATCTTCTGTGTTTTACGTCGCAGGAAACAGTGACCCTCAGTGCTTTCACGTGTTATCCAAAAAGAGTACTTGGGCCCATCCTCAAAAAATTAAATCCCCGTTCCCGGAGCTGATAGCTGATGAACTCCGTGTGAAAAAAAAAAAGTGGCTATGCAGGTTCGCAAGCAGAGCACAGCATATTCTTGTATAGCTCAGCCCAGCAAGGGGGAAGGAGAGAGAGAAAAATATAAGAAAGGTAGAGAGGTTAACTAGCTTATGTCTAGTTTGTTACACTACACGTGGGAAGAGGGAAATAAAGTAGCAAAAGAGAGAAACAGAAAACAGCTAGGAGATGTACATTGCACACCACACACAGTGCAGGGTTTCACGGGTGGTCGCTCCACGATATTGCCCTCAAGAATTGTATAAGGGCACGTGCGGCTTCCTGGCTGATGTACTTCAAGACCACGCACCCAAGAGGAAAGACAAATGAGATGATATGTGTGGTTTAACGTCTCAAAACCAGCATATGATTATGAGAGATGGCGTAGTGGAGGGCTCCGGAAATTTCGACCACCTGGGGTTCTGTAACGTGCTCCCAAATCTGAGCACATGGGCCTACAACATTTCCGCCTCCATCGGAAAAGCAGCCGCCGCAAAAAGGAAAGTATGGGCAAATGAGAGTCAGGAGGGGAGATGTCATGGTGAGGTGCAGAGAGAAAAGAAGAAGAGAGAATAAAACAGCATTGTAAGAAAGAAAAATGGGTAGAAAAAAGTAAATGCAAAAAGAAAAAATACGCCATCTCCCGCTAAAGGGAACCACGTGTATACATTCGAAGCAGCGGTCGCTAACACTTACACTGGCGGTGACGTTGACGCTTGCTCTCGTCGCGGCGTTGCGCAGGAAAGAAACCTGGGGAGGCGCAAAGCACGCAGTGATGAACCGGTGCTTTTTACTGGAACATGCCAATCATTGCGAGTGGGCAGTGAGAGACAGTGGACTCCGATTGGACACAAAGACCTGCAGTCCACTTTTAGTTAACGAGCATGCAGCGAATTTTTGTTGTTCTACAACGCACACATGCAGTACCTTGGTCAAGATCAAGTGCCTATGTATACGGGGTGGCCAGTGTGCGGTTGTGCAACGCGAGCAGTCGGTTATTTCCATCAAGAAACTGACTAGCAGATGCTGACTGTTTTGGCGTTGCGAGGAGAGATAGGGAAAGTGTGGAGGAGGAGAGAGAGGGGGGGGACGTGCATGCTCAATGGGAGTGCTAACGTCTCTGGGAAGGATGCC